GCATTCCTGATACACATACTTTATAAAAATACCAACTGGGAGTCTGGGCGGTTACTCAGCTGTGAGAGAAATCCCAGGCGTCAGCGTGATGACACCCTTTGGAAAAATGGGGAGAGGCCCTGGCAGCTGCTGGTGGTTGTGCAGAGGGCGGCTGTGTTGGCCCCTCTGGGCAGGGAGGACTTTGGGAATGGGCAGGCAGTTCCCGGACTTTCTTCCTTCCCACGTTTCCAGCTGTCATGCTGACAATGGGACTTTCACGCGACCTCATTTTGATTCATTCTCTTGGGTTTCTGCAAGTCAAGCCTGATGGTATTGTTCTCTTAAAAAAAAAAAAAAAGCCAAGCAAAAAGCAATGAAATGCCAAGTAATTCACTCCGGGAGCTTTATTTATTTATTTATTTATTTATTTATTTATTTTTCTGGAGAGGTTTTTGATACAGTGTGTGTGCGCTCGCCAGAAAGACAGAGAGACAGAAAGCGAGAAATCACCCCCCAGGGGGGATGGCCACACCACAATCCCTTCTCCTCCATCCTCCTCTCAGGATCTTGGGCACGCACGCACACGCGCCCGGCGTGAATTTAAGCCGCCGGGTCTGGGACTCGAACTGCGGTCGACTAAATAGGAGTCCAGTGACATAGCCATTATGCCAACTGCTGGTCCCAGGAGCTTACTTCCTGCCTGCAGGTTCAGAGTCCCTTAGGGAGAAGCAGTTGGCCCTGCGCCTTTTCTTCCCGAGTTCAATTTCCTTCTTTCTGAAGAGGATGTAGCAAAATGATCCTTTCAAGAGAGCCGAGGTCACTGTTAGACCTTCTGGGTTTCCCGCTGGCCCCTCCACAGCCTTTGATGCTGTGTTCTCCTTTGGGAAGGAGCCCCTTAACTCCATTGTGGCAGGCCCCAAGATTCATTGTTCGGGGCCTGCCGAGCAAGCGGGCCTGCAGGAAATGCAGTATCCCTTTCCTCTTTGATGCAAACCTGGAGAGATTACTTGGGGGGTGGGAGTTCCACAAACCCTTTCTGAAATCCAGCTTGCTGAGACGCCAGAGTGGAAGTCATCTCTGGCCCCGTGCTTGCGACAATGCCCCATGGCCTGGGAATGAGTCCGGGGGCTGCTTGACCAGGCTGGGAGAGTGTCCGGTGTTCCAGGAGAGAGCTCTAGCCCTCGGAGGGCAGATACACTCAGCAGTTTCCACAGTGTCCCCAGGATGGGACGGACATCCCTACCACCCCCCACTTCACACAGTTCATCCAAGATGGGCCAGAATGGGAGGCTTTGGGCCTGTGGCCTTCATTTTCCTTAATATAAAACTAGGCTTTTTTTTTTCTTTTTCTTTTCCTCTTTTTAAATTTGCTATAGGGTGCATACATGGGTGAGAGACACATGCACACAGAGAGACAGAGACAGTGAGAGGAAAAGTGAGAAATCATTCCCCCGGAGGGATGACCATGCCACAATCTCTTCTCCTCCATTCTCCTCCTCTCGGGCATGCACGCACATGCACGCAGCATGAATTTCAACCTAGGCGGTCTGGGACTCGAACCCCTATCAGCCATGTGGGAGTCCAGCGATGTAACCCCTATGGCAATTTCAGAACTCTTTAGGTTTGCCACTTCCAGCAATTAGTCTACCTATGTAGCCAACTTTCTACCCTTAAAGTTATTTAGATATCATTACGAGTAAAGTGAAAACATACGGTAGATGTTACTATGTTCATACACCTAGAAAACGGATCGTAAAACCTCCCTCTGTTCTCTTACTAGTAATGAGGCCTCTCAGCCGTTTAAACACGGGCTCATGCCGCCCTCTAGTGACAACCTAGAGAAAAGCACCACACGCACATCCCCAGAGGAGAATGGAGAAGAGATTGCGGTGTGGCCATCCCCCCTGGGGGATGATTTCTCGCTTTCTATCTCTGTCTCTCTCTCTCTCTGTCTTTTTGGCGAGCGCACACGCCCTATAGCAAAAAGTCTCCAAAAAAAATAGTAAATAACCTATTTAATGACTACAGTAAGCACTATAGCCCCAGCGAGGTGCTGCTTTATAGTATGTTCACCTTACTCACTGAGGTTCATGCCTGAAGTCAGACTTGTGTTCATCAGTATGTATATATCAGCTGTGCTTGCTACTGAATGTTTTTAGATTAATTAAGATCTTTAGTGAATCATGAAACGTGCATGGGGGGGAAACGTCTGACAACCACTAGAGACAGACATGCCACGTAGGCATGTCTTTGTGATGTCACCAAAGTGTCCTGGATAGATTATGGTGTGGGCACCCAGAGGGAGGGTGGGTGGGCTGGGCCCAAGAAAGGGCTGCAGATTGCCCAGCCGGAATCACATGCTGACTGGGCCTGGGGTTTCCCCGGGGAGAGGACTCGAGCCACACCCACAGCCACCCTGGAGGGATGAGTGTGCAAGTCCACAGCAGTGAGATTGAACTGGGTTTAATTCCCAATGACTCATTGAGCAGGGGCGGTCCCTGGAAGGGCAAGGGTGGATGGGTGCGAGGCAGCTTCAGAAGGCAGCATTGGCAGGATGTGGGGGCTCCCCGGGGAGGCCTGGGAGGAAGAGGAAAGGCCACATCTCCACCGCCTTTGAGTCTCCACGCCAAGCCCTGGAGGCGCAGGCCCATGAAGAAGGTTCGTCCTCTTAGACCTTGAGGGTTTTTTTGTTTGTTTAATTGTTATTGGTGTTAAATTCAATCACTGTAGCTTTGGGATTTTTTGGATTTTTTTAGAGAGATTTTTGCACATGCGCTTGCCAGAGAAACAGAGAGAGAAGGCGAGAAATCACCCCCCTGGGGGAATGACCATGCCGCAATCCCTTCTCCTCCACTCTCCTCTTAGGGATCTTGAGCACGCATGCATGCACAAGTGCACAGCGTGAGTTTTAGGCAGGTGGATTGGAGATTCAAACTGCCGTCGACAATGTGGAAGTCCAACGACATAACCATTATGCCATCTGTCAGTCCTAGGTTTCAGGGTCTTTTTTGAGATTTTATATAAGGCATCATACGATGACTCAGCATAATGTTTTTTTCTGGAGAGGTTTTCGCTATAGGACGTGTGCGCTCACCAGAAAGACAGAGAGACAGAGAGACAGAAAGCGAGAAATCACCCCCCAGGGGGGATGGCCATGCCGCAATCCCTTCTCCTCCATTCTCCTCTCGGGATCTTGGGCATACACGCACACGCGCCCGGCGTGAGTTTTAAGCCACCGGGTCCGGGACACGAACCGCGGTCGACTACGTGGGAGTCCAGCGACATAGCCATTACGCTAACTGCTGGTCCCAGTCCTTCATTCATTTTTATGACTGTGAGTCCGTATTTCATTCCTTTGTATATGATATGCCACATCTTGCTTATCCATTGGCATTTAGAGAATTCTCACGTTTTGGCTATGATAAAGCAACATCTACTTGTAACTTTTTATATGGACAATTGTTTTCAATTATTTCATAGGAGTGAAATTTCTGGTTCATGCAAAGCTTTTTAATTGCCAGAAAGCACATGTTCCCAAAGAGACAGAGGGAGAAAGCACCTCCCAGCCATGGAGCGTGGTCAGGCTGTGACCCTTTTCTATTTCTCCATCCCATCAGGATTTGGGGTAGACACACCCATACACTTGGTTCTCTTTTCAACCCACCAGGGCCAGGATTCGAACTGTGTTCAGTCACGTGGGATCTGGCTCTCTTAACTACTAGGCTACAAGGCCAGCCTAAAACTTTAGCTTTCCAAGAAACTGCCAACCTGTTTTCTAGAGAGGCTGCAATATTGTATATCTGGTATCCCTATCAGCAGTGTATGGGGGCCACTGTTTCTTCACGTCCTCACCCACGCCTCGTCTGTCTTGTTGATTAGTCGCTTCCAGCAGCTATGAAGTGGTCTCCTCCCGTTGTTTGGGTTTGCATGCTTTAATGACTGCTTCTTGTCTCTTACTGGACATTTGTATCGTGTCTTTGGAGAAATTGCGCTCAAAATTTTTTGCTCATATTTCAAACTGGGTTATTTGTCTTTCTGAGTTGTAAGAGTTCTTTAGAGAGTCTCCAAACAAGTCCTTTATTGGGGAGATGCTTTGCAAACATCTTCTCCCAGTCTGTGGTTTCTATTTTCCTGTTCTCAGAGAGAGACAGAGAGAGGAGGGAGTGAGAAATCAGCCCCCATAGGGGATGGCCATGCCACTATCCTACCTCCTCCATTGTCCTCATGGGATTTTGAGCACACGTGCACACACACACCTGGCATGATTTTCAAACTGCCAGGTATAGAACTCGAACCATGATCAGCCATGTGTGAGTCCAATCCCGGGGCCAGCAAGTGGCATGGTGGTTAAAGCACTGGATTCCCACATGGCCTACCATGGTTCAAGTTCCAGACCTGGTGGCTTGAAAATCATGCCGGGTACATGTGTGTGTGTGCCTAAAATCCTGAGAGGAGAAAGGATTGTAGCATGGCCATCCCCCATGGGGGGGATTTCTCACTTTCCCTCTCTCTGTCTCCATAGGTCTCTCTCTGCAGAGTGCACATGCCCTATGCCAAAAGTGTGTGTGTGTGGGGATTTATAAACACACACATTGTGTATATATATATATATTTTATAGCTATATTTATTTATATAGATAGACATAGACAGATGTTCCAATCTTCCAATCATGATCAAGAGAAAGGCTCTTTTTTGGGACCAGCAGTTAGCATAATGGCTATGTCACTGGACTCCCATGTAGTCGACTGCGGTTCAAGTCCCGGACCCAGTGGCTTAAAACACACCGGGCACGTGTGCGTGTGTACCCAAGATCCCAAGAGGAGAATGGAGGAGAAGGGATTGCAGCATGGCCATCCCCCCTGGGGGGTGATTTCTCGCTTTCTGTCTCTCTGTCTCTCTCTGTCTGTCTGGCGAGCGCACGTGCCCTATAGCAAAAACCTCTCCAAAAAAAAAAAAGAGAGAGAGAGAAAAAGGCTCTTTTGGACACGTGTGTTTGCGTGCCCAAAATCCCAGAAGGGAGAGGTGGAGGAGAGGGGATTGTAATATGACCGTGTCCCATGAGGGATGCTTTGTCACTTTCTCTCTCTTTTCCCTCTCTCTCTCTCTTCTTCCCTCCTCACCCAGTAAATGCACATCCTCTCCAGCAAAAAATTTTTAAATAAGAATTAAAAAAAAAAAAGAATAAGCCTTGGGAGAACAGCATAATTTGATAATTCTTTGTTTTTTCTTAGTAGTTACAGCAAGCAACACCGGCCTTCCATCAGCAGTAGTATTCTAAAGTTGCTGCTTTGTTTTGTTTATTGCCCGAGGGCACGTGCACTCTCCAATAAAGAGAAAACATCCCCCATGGGGCCATGGTCACACCACAATCCCTTCTCATTTCTGTTGGGATGCTGGTCCCATGAACACACAACCCTGGCCTGTTTTTCAAGCCACCAGGGATGGGAATCGAACTGCTTTCAGCTATGTTGGGTTTCCCATGCCCTTAACCAGTAGGTTATAGATGCAGCCTATAAAGGTTCCTTTTGCAATAATTTAAAAAAAAAAAAAAAAAAACTGAGGCCAGCCACAGTGGCAGAGGTGATGCAATGCTCCCTGATGCTGAGGTCCTGGGTTCCCGTCCTGAGGTCTCCTGTACACTCTAATTGTGCGGGCCTGTGCTGTGATCGCTGGCCGAGGCTGTCAGTGCAATCTCAGTGTCAAGATTCTATTGAGAATGCCCCTCTCTCTTTCTCATGGAAGAAATCAACTTTTTTCTTTTTGGAGAGTTTTCATTTTTTTGTTTTGTTTTGCTGTAGGACACATGGACTTGTCAGAGAGCGAGTGAGATAGAGAGGGAGAGACAGAACGTGAGAAATCACAACCCTCCCCACCCTCGGGTTGTAGGAAAATGGCCACGCTGCAATCCCTTCCATTCCATTCTCTACTCGGGATTTGAGGCATGCACACACACACACACACACCCAGTGTGAGTTGAAGCTGCCAGGTCAGAACTCGAACCTCAGTGGACCACGTAGGAGACCAGTGCCTTCCATGACACCATCTGCTGCCCCCAGAAGAAATAAACTTCAAAACTATTGTTTTGTGGGGACCAGCAGTTAGCGTAATGGCTATGTCGCTGGACTCCCACATAGTCGACCGCGGTTCGTGTCCCAGACCCAGTGGCTTAAACTCACGCCGGGCGCATGTGCGTACGTGCCCAAGATCCCGAGAGGAGAATGGAGGAGAAGGGATTGCGGTGTGGCCATCCCCCTGGGGGGTGATTTCTCGCTTTCTGTCTCTCTGTCTCTCTCTCTGTCTGTCTGGCCAGCGCACAGCGCCCTATAGTGAAAACCTCTCAAAAAAAAATAAAAAGAAGTATTGTTTTAGTTGATGAGGAAAAACAGTAACTGAGGAGCAGCCCACCTAGCAGCCAAGGTGGACGGGGCTGGGAGTCCCCAGCGTGGGATGCTGGGTCGTCTGACTGCCTGCCCCCTCCTGCAGGTGCGGCGGACTGGGGCTGGTGCTGGCCAGCGCGGGCTTCGGCATGCTGACGGCGCCCATCATTGAGCTGCACAACCAGAAAGGCTACTTCCTGCACCACATCATCTTCGCCTGCTGCACGCTCATCTGCATCATCTGCATCCTCCTGCTGCCCGAGAGCCGGGACCAGAACCTACCCGAGAACATCTCCAGCGGGGAGCACTACACGCGGCGGCCGCTGCTGCCGCACAAGAAGGGCGAGCAGCCGCTGCTGCTCACCCACGCCGAGCTCAAGGACTACTCGGGCGCGAGCTCAAGGACTCCTCGGGCCTGCACGACGCGGCCGCGGCGGGCGGCGGGCTGCCCGAGGGCGCCACGGCCAATGGCATGAAGGCTATGTAGCCTGAGCTGCGTGCGGTCCCGCCGGGTGCAAGGGGTGGGAGCTGGACCCCGCTTTATAGACCAGAAGCCGAGCGTGCCGCCGGGGCGCGCGCACCACGTGGACACCGCGTCCGGGCCGCGCCTCTACCGCAGACCTGAGACTCCCAACCGGTGCCGGGCATCCTGTCTTTCCAAAAGTCCAAGGGGTGTGAGCGAGGGAAGAGACTCTGGACATCACCCTGCACAGACGTTCTTTTCTGCCATTAAATGTTTGTATTTATTTGGTCATTTTTATGAGAAGCACTTTATTCCCACTCACTGATCATGGAATGGAACCGCCCCCTTGGGCAGTGAGATGGGGCGCCCTGAGAAGGCCCGTAAGTGACCAGGAGTGGCCAGCCCCGGGGTTCAGGGGGGCTCCTCCATCCCGGCTGGAGCCCATCCCAGGCCTCCACCTGCTGCAAAGGAGACGGGGTGCTCTTCTGGCGTGCTGGACTGCGATTAGACAGACGTGTACCCCAAGATCATTAGGTCTTCACTAGAGTCTGGGAACGGTTTCTTAAAGGCTTTTTTTTGTTTGTTTTTCTTTGTGTTTGTAAGGAAAGAGCTTCTGGTCTACGCGTGAGGGGGAAGCCACTCGCAGGTAGCATTAAAACCAGCCTCGTTCTCCCTAGGGATCAGCCTTTCGTACTTTTCTCCGGACGCTCCTTGGGGGAAAAGCTTCATCATTTCACCAGAAATCTTAAGCGATCCGCGGTGGTGCCACTTGCTGTCACCTTTGCTTCCTTATGTCCGCCACTAGCAGGGCGTGAGGAGGGCTGGGACGGCCCTGGCTGTTAAGACTGCTTCCAGATCCGGCTCCCTTTCACCGGCCGCTTTCCGGCCAGAGCTGCGTGAAAACGGGGCTCCTCTCGGAACTACAGACCATGGCAAACAACGGGACAACGAAGGGCTGCTCCCCCAAATACGGCCTGTCGCCTGCCCACACCTGAGTGCACCCCTGGGATCACCAGCCGCCATGCCCGTCACTCACTGACGTCACGCCAGAGCCGGAGCACCTGCCAGGGCGCCCCCTACAGTCCCGGACCCGCTGCTTCAGCTCGTCCAGGGCTCAGCACCGAGGTGGGCCTGGGGCAAAGAATGCAGATGCCTCCCCAGTGAGTCCAATGGCTTCCAGCCTCTTGAGGGCAGCAAGACAAGGAAAGCAATAACTCACCAAAGCTCAGCCCACCCTGCCCCGGCTCCCGCGGTTTCGTCTGCCCCTCCTCTGGTCCCGTGAAGGCTCCTTCTTGTTTTTGGAGGAAACTTGCAGGACGCCCAGAGCCACCGAGAAGCCTCCCTGGCGCAGGAGAGGCACCACTTGGTAGCAACCAGCACTGGCTTTTCTGGACAGCCTGGCTAGATTGTCCGCAGCATTGTCCGCAGCCCCCCTCTGCGGGGCGCATCCGCCATGGGCTGTGTTCCCAGGGGATCGTGGTCTATGGGACTTGATGGATGGTTCGAGAATTCAAAGGGCCAGCAAAGAAGCTGACTGCCTCCCCTTCCAGCTCCCCCCGTCTGTCTCTGTTTCTGCCCACCTCTCCTCCGCACTGGCACACCCATAGGAGCCTGCTGACTTGGGAAACGCAACGCCAGGGGGGTGCACAGCCTCCTGCCAGCCACACAAACTCCCAGGGGCTGTCCCAGCCCATGCCTCGGACCTCGACAGCCCACTCAAATCTGCCGAGAGCTGGGGAAGGGCAGCTGCCTGCCCAGCCTCTCCCCGCCCCACCTGTCCACGGCCAGCTCACCTTGTCTTCCTCGGCCTCTTTTTGAAAGTCACATCTGTTCCGTGTTGCCGCATCAGTCGGCTTGACATTCACCAAGGCCTTTCTTCAGATCCGTGCAGCCTCTGCGTGCCAAACTTGTGAGATACCTTCTACCTTTTTCTAGAGGACTGGGTACGGAGTCACCTGGCAGCACACCCCACGGAGTACAGGGCAGGACATTCCAGCAGTCAGGCCATCAGGCAGTCAGGGACGGAGGGAAGGAGCCGGTGAGGTCCCCGGGCCTGTGGCTGAACAGGTGCGTACCTCTGTATTCACGACCCTCCGCACAAGGACACCTGGGGACCTGCTTTGCGAATCCAGAAGGACTTGCTAAGTGACGAGCTGTAAGCCAACTCAGGCTGGTCACAGGACCTCTTTTAAGAAGCTGTCGGAGCTGTGGCGTGCTGCGAGAACCCACTAGGAAGCAGGTGTCAAGGTACAGCACTTAGGAACTTCTCTGCTGAGGTCTCTCTCTCCACCTGACATGACCACGGGAAAAACACAGGCCCAGCAGACGCACAGTCCCTTGGCACCCAGGACCGGTCCACCAGTGAAGAGAGCGGCTCACAGAGGCCGGGGCACTCTGAACTGGCCTAGCAGCTGCAGATGAGGCTGACTCGCTTACAGCCCACAGGGAATGTGGCCCGGCCAGCGATGGGGGCCCACAGCTCCCCACTCGGAGCAGCCTCAGAGCAGGACAAGCTGCTATTCTGATCTGCCTCCCTCCAGGGGTGTCTGAAGCTCTTAAGGAAAGCCTTTACGAAATGTAGCCAAAGCACAAGAGCTTCCCTGTGGACACAGGCCCACGAAATCTAGTACCAAGTCAGGCAAGAGGGCACACACAGGCCCGAGGCACATCAGGGCCCACCTGGCTCCACCCAGGCCACCCCACCGGCTCCCCCACACCAGCCCGCCATGCTCACTCCCCTCAGACCTGTTCATCGTGGTCAGAAGGGAGACATCTCTCAGGCACCTGCCGGTTCAGTTCGGCCCTCCCACCCCCGCCGTGTCCTGCTGGCCTAGCCAGTCGGGGCGCTGTGACCCCCTTTCCAGCAAAGTTATGCACAAAGGCGAGCCCCTGAGACAGGGCTGGACATTTCTTCTTCCTGTTCTTGTCCAGAAGTCAGTAACAACTCTTCTCCGACCCCCTAATTCCTAGCGCCCGAGACAAATAGGAAAAAGTATATGTTTTACTTTTCTACGAGTATAATCAGCTGCAATGGGAGGACAGGGCTGGTCAGTTGGCTCGGCCACAGAGAGCCTCGTCAGGGAAGTACTGCACCCCAATGCCACCGCTTCCTAGAGCCAAACGGGCACCCCCTGCCCTGGGCGTGCCATGACCTGCACCTGCACCCACCACGCCACCCGGCCTGCCGGGGCATGTGTCATGGAGGCCCATGCTTCCACGCTGTCTTCCTGTTCTGAAAGACACCACCTCACTGTAACGTACCGTGTGTGTTTTGGACAAGCAGTATGGTGTGTCGTGTCTAGTGGGGAACCCTTCCCGCCCTGTCCTTTCTGCAACCCACGCGTCCGAGGTTTTCCTGTAGGAACCGTGTTACTGTACGTGTCGGCGGGGCGCCCTCTAGCGGCGCTCGTCCATAGCACAAGCTTACACTGAGTTCTGAACTGTCGTTGGCAGCTCGCGTCTGCATGGTGTCGCATCTGTTGTACCTTTGGGGACAATTTGTATGTACATGTACAGAAATAAAAATGTTGCCCCAGTAACAGCTTTCCTCTGGAATGTCTTCCCTACCTCACCTGATGGTATCCAACGAAGGGCACCGCACCACCATGGACGGAGGAATAAAAACCCTCCTGTGTATTAAGACTTGCGCTTCCCACGGCTCCGTCCCGACGGGCGGGCGGGTGGCCCCTCATTCTGCTTTAAGGGTCCCAAGTCTTCAGAGGCCGTGGGAGGCAGAGATCCAACATCGACTGTTGACCTAGTGCCATTCTCAGACCACCTGAGAAAGGGGAGGAGGAGCCTCGGTAAATTGCAGAGGGATTTTTTTTTTCTCTTGTTTACTTAATGTTCTGCTAATCCGTGGCCTGACGTTTCCTGGAGAGGTCAAGAAATGAATATCTTACACTGTGATTCTGTGAGGAAAGACTGATAACCCAAAACTCTCTAATGTAGACTTTTTTTTTTTAACAAGAAAACAATATTTCTTTAATAAAGTATTTATACCAAACTCTTCGCTCCGTAGCCCTGATTTTTTGTCACTTAACTGTTCTACTCCGGAGAGGTAACCCTGCACTTTTTCCCAGTGATGACGACGCTGGCTGAAGCCATGGAATTTAGTGTGGGAAAAGGAGGGAAGCATTTAGAACCCGGGAGGGAATCCACTGAAGCCCCTTTGTGTCTTCCACCCTGAGCCGCCCACCACTGACTCACTGCAAGACTTCTGTCACTGCATGAAACACGTGACAGGGCCCTGCAGTCTGCCTCCAGTGGATCCCAGAGCTTAGAAACTTCTTTGCTGAGCCAGGTGACGTGGGGTGAAGGCGCTGGACCCCTGCATGGCCAACCAGTTGGAGCTTGAAGATCACGCAGGGTGTGTGTGTGTGTGTGTGTGTGTGCCCAAAATCCCAAGAGGAGGATGGAGAAGGGATTGCAGCATGGTCATCTCCCCTGGAAGGTGATTTCTCGCTTTCCCTCTCTCCATTTCTCTGTCTCTCTCCAGCAAGGGGGTACATGCCTTATGGCAAAAAAAAAAAAAAGATTTTTGTTAATGGTCCTCAACTTGTGACTGCCCCCATTCAAAGCAGGACAGAGCGCCACGTACATGTGCGTGCATGCCCAGAATCCCAAGAGGAGAGTGGAGAAGGGACTGCAGCATGGCCATCCCCCTGGGGGGCTGGGGAGGGTGATGTCTTACTTTCTCTCCCTCTGGTGAGAGCGCATGCCCTATAGTAAAAATCTCCCTTAAAAAAGTGGAGGGACCAGCAGTTAGCGTAATGGCTATGTCGCTGGACTCCCGTGTAGTCGACCATGGTTCGCGTCCTGGACCCAGTGGCTTAAAACTCATGCCGGGCGCGTGTGCGTGTGCACCCAAGATCCCGAGAGGAGAATGGAGGAGAAGGGATTGCAGCGTGACCATCCCCTTGGGGGGTGATTTCTCGCTTTCTCTCTCTCTGTCTCTCTCTCTGTCTGGCGAGCGCACACGCCCTATAGCAAAAAAACCTCTCCAAAAAAAAAAAAAAAAAGTGGACACGACCTGATACGAAATCAAATTCATTCCATTTATTGAAATGTATATCGTACATAATTACAAATGCTCATTTCTGCCACTCGGCTAGAACTTTTCCGGAAAAGCCTCCATCTCTTCCTTGATCCTGTTCTCTACAAGTAACGTGAAGTTACCGTCTGTGTTTTGAAGGTTGTAGCTGACAAACACCTGTTTGTTGGTCTTCCTGGCTAAAAAAAGAGAAAACGATCGTTGCCGTAGCTGTGGCTGTTCCTCACGCCTGCCCACGGCTCGAGGGGCTTGGAGAAGGGAACAGGTCCAGGGAGAGAAGAAGTTCTCGTTTTTTAAGTCTCTGCAGACAGGTGCTAGGAATACAGACTCCAGGCCAGTCATCCCACTCCTGGCTTCTGGAAGGGTCCTGGAGTGAGCCCGCACCAGCAGCAGCTCCTGCACCTGGCAGATGCAGCGGCTCAGGCCCCACTGCAGACCTCAGTCAGAACCCGGGGCTGGGCCAGCAATCTGCACTAACACGTCCCCCTAGTCCCCCATGCACTGATGTCTGAGGGCCTCTGCTCTACACAGAGGGCTTATTTATTTTCACTGGTAAAAAACATAGATAATATTCAAGTGTTTAAAATAAATATTAAAGTTCTCCATCGGTACCAATTTCTATCAGTACCCCTCCAATTCTACCACTCCCAGAAGCAAGCCGGCATGCCCACGGGTTTGCATACATTACACACACACGCGGAGTACAGAAGCGTACCCAAGTACGGTTTTACGGAGTACGTACAGAACCCTAAGAGGTCAAGGTGCACTGGTCCCACTGCAAAACCAGAGTCACAAGCCCAGAGTCTGACAAGGGGCCAGGAAACCTAACCAGATCAACGCAGCCTGCACCAGTGTGAGCCTGGGGCAGGTGCTCCCACTCACCCTCCGTGGAGGCTCGCCGACCCTGTCACCCTGTCCCACCCCACACGACCACACCATCAGAGACAAAGGCAGTAGGTGGACCTCAGGGCACTGAAGGCTGTTTCTCCAGCTTTTTAAGGCTAAGGGGGATTATTTAATCAACTGCTCTCTCTTTTTTTTTTTTTTGAGAGGTTTTTACTATAAGTCATGTGTGCTTGCCAGAAAGACAGAGAGAGACATAAAGACAGAAAGTGAGAAATCACCCCCCCCCCCAGAGGGGAATGGCCACACCACAATCCCTTCTCCTCCATTCTCCTCTCGGGATCTTGGGCACGCACGCACACGCGCCCAGCATGAATTTAAGCCACCAGGTCCAGGACTCAAACCGCAGTCGACTACATGGGAGTCCAGAGACATAGCCATTACGCTAACTGCTGGTTCCAATCAACTGCCTTCTTTACAGGACCGTGACACAACTATGGAGAATGCACAGAAGTGCAGAAGCAGGTGCCCAGCCTGCACCTTGACACACACAGCTGGGTGAACTAGGGCATGTGAACTGAACCTCAACAGAGCTGCTTTAATATTTTAAAAGGAACACGTTTGGACAGAGCGGCCCCTCCGTCACCCTCGGCTCTGTTTAAAGAGCAGCGGCA